ATTAAAAATTAAAGCTTTAGAGTATTATTGCTTTATCATATAATTAAAACTTCCCATTATATTTTTTGAATGGCTGTAAAGTATATACGTATATATTCAGAAGCTTCACCTTAAATCGGTCAACATTTGAGGGATTACTATTTAACTCAGTTTACAAATAATAATTGGAGACCAACATAAAAAAAAGTAGGGTTCATGGATTTAATAGCGGAAAGTTTTCCATTGTGTAAGGATTTCAATTCATTTATTTTAATGAAGAAGCGAAACCACTAAGAATTTCCAAGGTTATCTGACAGCTATGAAATTTTAATCCATGATATGCCAACCATTTTTATATTTTATTTCATAACCGTCGTGGAACATCAGACTCAATTTTGGGTTTACGACTATTAATGTTCAACTCCGTAGCCTTGTAATTTTGAACCAATTCAAGAGACAAGGAAACTCCGGAATCAGTACCCCCAGAGGTATGATTTGTTATGGGAACATGGAGGACTTTTCGACTCGACAGATTTAACGTACATTAGTCACCATTTACTACATGGAGAGTCTTCGGCCGTAGGGGATCGAATCCACGACCACTTGGACATGGGTCCAGTGTCCTACCAACCAGGCTATTTGGACATATCTCAACCACTTAAAATAATTTTATGTTCAGAAATGTGATTGGTGTGGGTTTAAAGCGACATGATTTAACTGCAAACCCCCATCGATAGAATATCAGGCACAAATATCAAGGAAAAATTTCACCATCCTCGATCATGAATCAATTTCCTTATCATGAATGATGATTAAATTTCGTCATAATGGAGGATCTCATCATCATGAAATCCTCATTTTCTAGAATCATGTATGGAGCGATTTTTTTAATGGATCATATTAAAAAATAGAGCTCAAAAAATCTTCCTAGTTTGCAATTAAAAAAAAAAAGAAAAGAAACATGATTCCCAAAGTTTAGGCTGGGAAAATGTCAAAGTTTAAGTTTTGAATTTTAAAATATACCAATAGAATATTAGTTATGAAAATCTAGGTAATTTCTAACGAAAAGAAAATGTTAGAATTATTTATTACGTATCTTTTTCACCTTAATATTCTTCCGTGACCCCACTTTGAATTCAACATGCCCTAAAATAAAACTGCACATATTTTATTGAGAAAAACCCTTAATATAAAATAAATCAAATTAAATGCTCTATTTAACTGTAATAATTTTTCCAGTACAAAAGAGACATTAAAATTTTTCGCGTTCAGAAATGCAAATTTTTACTGTTTCAAAACTAATTACAGAAGAAAAAAAATTAGATTATTATAAAGACGCATATAAAATTGGTTATTTTGAATAATCTATTTAAACTAGTTTTTACAGACTATATTAGACTTAGACTAGATATAACAGACCAGTTTTACCGGAAAAAACTATAGTTTTGTCTAGGTTAAATGAATGGTAAAAAAAGTTTGAAGATTCGAGTAAACAAAAGACGACGTGACTGAAAATTGTAAACCAAAAAGCTCTTAGCTTTAAAAGCAACCTGAAAATAGATTGAGGAAAAGTCTAGAAGGGGCATAAATTCACTACATTTCCTGTTAGAGATATAAAGACTGAATTTTATAGCTAAAAAAGTATTTTTACTAATTATTTCAAATACACCGATGATTACACCTACATTGATAATACCAAATATACTAATGAATCCAAACGTACCGAGTTCCAATTTTACTGACAATTCCAAATATACTTGATTCCAAGTATATTGATGATTCCATAAGTACTGAATTCAAATTATACTAATGATATCAAACATAATGAATTCAAATGCACTAATTAATTCCACAAATACTGAGCTCCAATTATACTTTTAATTTTCAATACAATGAAATTTGATTAAACTGCTATTATACAGGGTTATTCATAATTCCCTCCGGGGTTTCGAAGCGTTATAGTAAAAAAACGAAGACGAATATGGCAAAAAAGAGCATATGAAATTATTCCGAAAGTATTCGAGTTTTAATTTAAGCAGTTGCCGGTAGATGGCAGTAACATGTACCACTGAAGCCAATTGTAGTTTAGAAAAATTGCGCTTACAGGCGGAGGGAATTATGAGTAACCCTGTATTGATAGTTCCAAATATATTGAATTACAACTATACTCATGTTTTCATTCAAACTGATAACTTCAAGTATACTGAAATTCAATAGGATACTCGGAAGTGACGTCACGCGTGGGTCAGCCGGAAAGGTTCGACACACACGTGTGACGTCGCTTGCGGGTATTCAATCAAAACTGATCCAAAAATTGATTCAGGGTGATAATAAATCCAAGTCTTGAAGCTGTAACATTAACGAGCCACGTGACATAACCTCGTGATTAGACACAACCATGTGATTAGTTGCAAGTACCCAATTGTAATAATAATGATACTCATTACAATTATGTTATATTGTTTACAATTATTATTATGATATGATTATAATACTGATTACTGAATTATAATTATGCATCAAAATACTATAATGAATTTTTCGTTTAGAACTGGCTTTGGTACACTTTCCCGTTATTTTCTCACTAGTGTTCTTTTAAGGTAAAGGGATATTGTCCAGCATTTCCTACTGTGATGACCTTTAAGGGTAATTTTAGATAATTTAAAAATCATTTCCCTTCTTGTTGTTCATTGGTTTAATTTTTGATTACCATAACTATTTCACGCATATTCTTTTTTACTTTTTGACACAAATGAAAATTTTATATTCTAGAATAATTCGCATCCTCACCTTTTTTTTTCATCCTTTTCATCTAGCTTTAACATTTATTTTATTTTATCTTTTTTAACTAGTCTTTTTTTTCCTATAATTAATCATCTTCTTTACAACTTCTGAGAAATCTTTAACTACGCATTTAAAGTGCAATCTTAATGAATTTCTAAAATCATTTAGAGCAATTGAAAACATTTCAAGCTAATGTCACTGAATTAACATCATCGTACTCCGAAAAAAAGTATGGTAAAAAGTACAAGAATACTGTAAAATTTACCGTGTTTCTGTCCTCTATGGAAACAATGAAAAAGTTCGGTAATTTTTGCCGGAACGCTTTGGTAATGATTTTGATAAAATTAACATTATAAAATGGTTTTATAAATGTTATAAAATTCGGTAAATGTGGTAAGATTTGGTAATATAATCATGATGACTTCGGGCATGGCATAAAAACAGTTGATTCTGTTAAATTTCCTTTCCAATTTTGTAATTTTTCCTAAATTTGTGATTTGACTTTGATTTTGAAAATCGGATTTTCCGATGAGCCGTTACCGTGTGATCGATGTTCCTTCTTATGTTTTATTTATGTCGCGAAACTTAATTACTCACTTTAAGATATAAAAAATTACTTGTCTTCGTATTTTGTAATGTCGTAAAACTTAATTGCTCACTTATAAACAAAACGAATCATTTGCATTTTTATTTCTTATTTATGCCGAAAACTTCAAAACATAGCAGATTATTTGCATTCTCATTTTTTATTAATATCGTAAACTTAATTGCTCACTTTTAAACACAAGGAATTATTTACATTCTTATTTTTTTATTAATGTCATAAATTCATTTGCTAAACTACGTTTAATTTTTTAAACCGATGATTGTTTCAGAAAATTTGAATAGCGTTTCCTTCTACGCGTAACTTTTGTTATGTTGCAAAGTTTTTTTTTAGCACTATTAGTTAATTTTATATTATTACATACTTTTCAGCAAGTTAATTACAATGATTTATTGTTAGCTGTTTAATAAATGTCCAAATATTTATCAGAGAATGAAGTTCTTAAACAGCCTATTTGCTCTATAATTTTTTATCTATTTTTTTCTCCAAACTTATTATTTAATTGCTTTAACATTCAAAGTTCATTACAGATTAATATTCTACATAAAAAAATATTACTATTCAAAATAATATACAAAATATAGCATAAATGAAATTTCTTATAAATTTTAAGATTTTAGCTGAATATTAAACTAGTTCAAATACACAATTCAAACTAAGCACGCAACTTTTTGTACGGGAACACCGATATCTAGTTTAATATAATAATATATCATGCTTTTAAACAAATTTTTCACAGCGATTTATAACTCATAAACTTCCATAAGAGGTTTAGAAAACACTGTTATAAAAAAAACTTTGTTTTTGGCTTTTATCTTTTTAGTTTTTTTTTCAAGATTTATTATTTAATTTTTATTCCGACAAAAGTATTTATTGATACTTTTGTCGATACATACACATGTCGATACATACACATGTCGATACATACCATACATACATTTTGTCGATACGATTTTTGTCAATTGATACATACACATAGAATAACAAGCAAATTTTTTGTTTTCATTCAACTTGAAAAGTTTTATCATTCTGAAAAACAATCAAAATTAAATTATGTTTTTCTTGCTACTTGATAAATATTAAGCTGGAACTAAATACTAGCTATAAAAATATCTTATTCGTACATAGGAATATATCACATAACTACTAGAATAAGTTATGAATATTATTACTACTTTCTAAAACTTTTTTCACGCATTACAATTATTAAATTAGTTCAAATACTTGCTATAAATCATTCAAGTTTGTATCTAACTTCAATTAAGCACACAAATATATCACAAAATTACTAGAACATTGTACAAGTTACAAATGTTATTGCTACTTACTAGAACTTATTTACACGTTATAAATATTAAGTTATTAAAATACGAGTTATAGAAACGTAACGAGTTTTAACATTACTTAAATATATTTCACAATTTTGGCGACACTTAAATATTCCTGATTTAAAGAAAAAAGTACAACTGAACTTCCCATTTTCTTAAATATAAAACAAAATTTTCTTTTAATATAATTTTTTCTTCTCGTATTCTCGTCTGTCAATCAAAATGTTTGAGAGAACATTTACAATTTTCATAATGTTTGATAAAAAAAAAGGTAAAATATTTCCATTCCAAGTATATTTACTCACCCTCTTCAAATTTTAAAATCAAGACGATAACAGCTGATTCCACATGATGGTTGGAGAAACTTCCTCTTTCAATTCCTGGGCTCTCTTTTAAGAGGACACCAACTCCAGGGCACTACGCCCCACAATGGCACACTTTTAATCCCACACAATCCGGGAACGACTTCTGCACGAAACACGAGACCAAAACACTTACAACAGTTATAATCCAAAAATATTCGATCAAGAAAGAAGTGGAGGATGGAAACGAACCACCCCTTGCAATAGAGATAAGAACTCTGTTATGTCTTCGATTTGAAGGTTTTGGTGACCAACTGAGCGAGGGCGTTCCCTTGCTAGCGCCCTGCTAGGGGCTGCCGGTAGAGGGCATCGAAGTCCGAATAATGGATTTGCACGTGGAAGAAGAGGATTTTGAGGATGAAGGATGGAGAAGAGCATCACGTAGTGCCAAGCAACAAGTTGTTAAATATAGTTTGGGGATTCTTACTACATATAGATAAAAATGTCTACTTAGATTAATAAAAATATAGCAAAATGCAAGATTCCGTCGTAACTTATCGATTAAATAATAGTTAATAGCCTAAAAGATAGGTAATTTTTTATGACAAACGATTCCTTACCTAATAAATAAATTTTTTTTTTCTTCTACAAAAGATTTTGTAAAATGGAAAACGATTTTTTTTTCTTTCGTAAAATGCAAACGATTTTCTTCTCTTATAATTTTTTTTAGCAAGAACAAATGACAATTTTTTTAATCTGGCAATACAGGAAAAAAATATAATTTCTCAATGCAAACGATTTTTTTATTAAATGGGTGAACTACCTGTGAGTATCTGTTGCTAAGAGCAAGAGCACATAAATAGTTTTTTTACACCATCTTTTCAATGTTAATCAGATACTGAGAGATATAAAGCATTTTTCGAGTTATACTTTTGGTAAGTTGATGTTTTAGTATCTTAAATGACAGAATTGTTTACTTTTCTTAGCTCATTTATAAATGATTTTTAAAAAAGGGAATAACGATTTAAAGTTACTTTCAAACAAACCTATTATATTACGTATTGAATAAATGCATACTTCCGATTCAGCAGTAGAAATATGACAACAGCAAAAGTCCAAGTTATAGTACTCACATATAATCAAAACAATATAAAATATTGAAAATGTAGTACTAGATTTCAGAACGTCCATCTTATTTTATCCGACAACATTCTTTTAAACAACATAGAATTGAAGTAGTATATGAAGTAGTATATGAAAAGTGATTAATTATAAAGATAATAATGTTCTTTACGTTGATACGAGGCAAATGTAATAGAGATAGAGGGATCAAAATGGGTTTTGAGCAGCGTTGCATAGTTAGAATGCTGTGCTAATGGATGTTAAAATTACACATATTTTTCAATCAAGAGATTTAAAATGACAAAATCCTTTAAATAGACTATTAATTATTAAAACATCTTGCCCTTTTAAATCGCTCTAACCTTTCAATCCTTTTACGCAGAATTTTTATTAAACGTATTTTTATACTTTTTTCATTAATTTGGGTAAAAAATATTATATTTAACATTTTAATAATTTATGATTATGAAATACTGCATTAAACACCGATGCCTTTTTCTGCATTAAAGGTAAAATCTTCTAAATACGGCTCACTTTCAAAGAATAATTTTTCAAATTTACACCTATTTAGATCTAAGAGAAACAGTTATTCAACGTGGAAATTTCTTTAACTTACAAAATCAATTATTGATAAATTTTTAATATGAATGAAAATATTTTTTTTTCAAATTATTATATTCAGATTTCATATTTTAATACAAATATAAATAATCTAACAGATTTTTTTCAGTAATTATTACACTGCTTCTTATTATTAAAGAATTTCAAAATATATTTTTGCTTGAAGTGTCAAAAATAAATATTTAAAAATATTTAAAATGGACACCGGTATTTAAAAGGGACACCAAATAAAAAGTGTTAAATAACACTCTTTTAATGTTTCCCAGATTTTAAATAACACTCTATTAAAGTTACCCATATTTTAAAACAAGATCTTCAAGAACTAACCATTTCTTACCATTACCATACCCAAACTACCCTAAAGACGAATACTCCTCTTGAAAAGGAAAAACTTTAATTTTTGAGCAGAAAATTGTTTAATAACTTAGATTTTAAAACAGATTTTTTTCAGTTTCATTTATTTTATTTTATTTATTGCATTTATATATTTTAAAACAAGCGCAGCTTCTTCATCGCAACTTTTAAAAAAAAACTCAGCATTTTTAAAAAAAGTGGCAGTTTTATTCGCCATCTATCTAAATAAAAATTTAAAAAAAAAAAATTAAAAAAAATCTACCGGAAGTTTTGAGGTCCTCTTCTGACGTCACAGCATTGACGTGAGTATTTCTTTTTTTTGGGGGGAGGGGGGGGGGCGTTTCGGGTTTGTTTGTATACACTCGGAATACTCAGTTGTTTTGATTTTAATTTTTGTGTCGTGTTTTTGCGAATAAATGTGTTTTTCATATTTTAAAAAGAACTTTGAGAAAAAAAAGAACTTTGAGAAATTATCCTATATTGATATGGAATTATTGATCATTGAGATGCGGATTTACGCCATTTAGTTTACATCAGCAGAAATTCGTCTACCGGAAGTTAAAACAACTTCAACAAATACTGCCCCCTACCGTGGAGAACATGAAACACGATCGGGAATATGGTAAATAAAACGATCCAAACTTATTAAAGATATCCAAATTTTTTACACAAGCATCTCTTTTGAAATGAAGCCGTGATTTAAAACAACTCAAACCTCTAAATTGTAAACAGTTATTTTTTGCCTTTTATTATTATTATTATTTTTTTAATTTTTACTTATTAACTTTTTTGATGTTTCAGGAACGTTGCTGTAAGGTTTTAATAAATATTGCAAAGAATGCACACAGTTCTTCTTTTAATGGATTAAACGAAAACAATACCGGACTTTTTAAAACATTATGTACCAAATAAAACTTAAATAAGTTATTCAATTTTTATGTTTCAGTGATGTTTTGAGGTGTATGTACAGTAGTTGATAGATACAAATTTCATACTGAAACAAATAGCATCATTTGATCAAGGTCTTCAAAAATTGGTTGCAAAAAGGTTTTCATTCTAGATGCCATAAATAGAAACTCCCTTTTTTTCATAAAGTTAACACAAATGTGAAGCACACAATTTTTATGTTTCTTCATTGTTTTGTGCTACAACGACTTCAGTTGATATAAATTTCATATTGATCGTGATATTCAAAAATTTTCACAAAGGCTTTCCAATGAAGATTTAAATTCAGTTTATTTTAAATTCCTTATTAAATCTAAAATTTTGAACTGGTTGTTTCGACTTTAATTCTATATTTTAATTTTTAAGATGAAAATAGCTTTAACAGTTTGCTGTCGCATGTCTACTCTCAGCCACCAACGCTTTTTTACCGTTCTAGTCGTGTGCCTGCTCTCAGCCACCACAGTAATGATGTTAGCCTACAGTGCGCTTTGAGGAGAACTCCTCCAAACAAAAAGTCTGGGGCAGTCTGCTGCTATGGTAACGAGTGAGAGCGCATTTCTAATGGGGGTGCAATGGAGGAATGAAGGTGTCGATTGGTTCACTCACGATGACCTATACCAAGATCAAGACAAAACTATTCACCCCACACCCCTATTCGAAGTGACTTTTCCTCGTAACTATGGTACCCGCCATGACGCGAGACTGATGTCTGGAGGAGTTCTCCTGAAAGCCGCACTATACATATATTGCGGCACTGTGAAAATGTAAAGAATAAAGACTGTTCAAACAGAAGTATTAAAGACGGAAGACGCCAAACTTTTTGCGAAGCATGTTCTCGAAAACCAGAACTTCATATTGGAGACTGCTTTGAAAGATACCACACGATGGAGAACTATAAAATATAATTCTTACATAAAATTAAAACATATTATTGTGTTACATATATCTAAAATCTGAAAAAAGAATTAATAAATTTTATTTATCCTTCATAATCTCGAATATTATGCATTACTTTGTTTAACGAAAACTAATTCCGACCGGCATGACACCTATGTATAAACTTAATACGACCACAAAGGGTTAAATAAAAAGCATACTGAATTGAAATTCTTGGATAAGAGACGTTTCGGCTAATATCGCAAAACTATTTTCTCGTGAAACTAAAAACTTTATCAAAATTCTCATGAGAAAATTATCATTTTTAAGCATCAATATAACCATCGCACTATCATTTTCAAACATAAATCCCAAATTCAATATCCGGAATACATACATCCAAATCATAAGAGCATCAATGAGATAGATATTAGCACCATTCTAATGTTGATAAATATTCCAATTTTGTATCTGAGTTATCATCTGTTCACAATTCGAGTTACATATACATTCAATAAAGCTGTTTGCAAGTGGCGATGAATGCGGGGCTTTAAGATGGATATTATAACTCTACAAATATCTAATCTGATGCAATGGATTATTAAAGAGACTGATAATATATATTTTCAATAGAGCAAGATACGGGCTGAAGGATGTTTACGAACATAAATAAATGTTACAAATACAACGGAAAGAACTAGAATACGGCACAAAATGTGTCATATATATTTCTGAAATATTCGATCTTCCAAAAATATATCGGAAATTAATTTAAGCTTTCAAAAACGTTACTGTAATGCAATCATAGAAATATAACATTGTAAGAAAAAATAGAGCGCTTTTAGCTTGTTTTCTTTAAACTATTTGATTGGAAATGCTGATTAAATTTAACTCATAAAAAGGGCATTGATAATTGCAATGAAAAATATTTACTTAAAAAATTTTATCCTTGTCCTGCGTATGGTAGTTATGTTTGGATCTGAGTCCATTGAAGCTGAAAATCGAACAATTCCGTGGTAAAAAACGAGACAACTCAAACTAAACAAAATTTCGACACATAATCGTTATTTTTTTTTTTTAACTTAAGCACTCTATTAATTAGTATTAATTTACTCTCACTTAAATAAATTGCACTTAATTCCTTTCACGTGTTACGCAGTTAAAATGTTTTTTTTTTCATTCTTTACTCTGAGTTTCAAAAATGTTGTAAGACCAATATTCTTAAACTGTTCTTTGCGAGCCGCGATGGCTCAGGGGATAGAGCGTTCGCCTTACAATGAGGTGACTCGGATTCGAATCCCAGCGATGGCTGGTCGATACGAATTCCACATCAAGCTTGCACCGACCACAGTGCTGACGTTAAATATCAAGGGCGGTAGACGGATCATGGGTTAGAGTCCCCTTGCCGTCAGG